GAGGGGCTGCAGGCGGTTGGTCGCCGGCCCCACCCCCCGATCGGGGGGTTTACTGGCCACAGTGGGCATCATAGAGACCAGTCGATCCAGTTGTTACGGCATTCTGGTCTCTGGCTTTTTATATATATAGATATTTTAACCACTAAATGTGTATTTGTTGTAACAGACAAATTATATTGGGACAAAGATATTCATAAAAGAGATAACATATAGGGTGTTCCAAAAATTTATACACATATTTTTTTAACATATATTTTTATTGATTTCAGAGAGGAAGGGAGAGGGAGAGAGAGAAGCATCAATGATGAAGGAGAATCATTGATTGGCTGACTTCTGCATGTCCCCTACTGGGGATCAAGTCCACAACCTGGGCATGTGCCCTTTTCCGGAATCAAACCCGGGACCCTTCAGTCTGCACGCTGACGCTCTATCCACTGAACCAAACTGGCTAGGGCTACACAGATTTTGAACAATTATAAAGGCAGTGTTTATTAAAATACATTTAATATTCAAAATTGAGCTCTTAGCTCTTATAAGGTATATACATTTTGGGGGACACCCTGTATACATGGGATCACTATTCTTTCAACTTGCTGATGTTCTCTAGCTATCATCCATTTTCCTAATGTACCCAAATTAAGTAGTTTCATCTAGGTCAGCTTTCCCAGGCAGAGCCCCATGTATTCAGCCTTTCCTACTGAGTCTTCTCTACAATCAAACAATATTGACTCCGAGTCAATATATTGACTCAGAGTCCAACTATTAGGCTAGCTAATCTAAAAACCAACTGTGATGGATTGATAATATACAATCTCTGGTAATGAATTTCTGTATTTCTCTCCTCTATCTTCTTCCTAAAGAGTCTTCAGAGAGTCCTCATCAGGCAAATGATAGGTGTATCTTTGAGCAGCTGAACTTCTCTGCTTTCCTCCAATCATGCCATAGGAGAGGATGCTATTCTATGCACACATCTACCCTAATCTTCTAAATATATTTTTTAATATATTGCCTATATACACTGTTGCCTTATAAAACTGTTAGGCTAGGCCTGTCTGCCCCAGAAAAAGAACCAGAGAAATTTAGAAGTATTGCAGATTATTTGAGTTTTAAAAACCATAGACTGATTTTATTGTGATTGGTTAGGTAATTGAGTAAAAATTTATTTTTAGCTTGAAAATCTCAGTGATTGTCTTCAGTTTGCATTGCCCATAAATATCCAGTGAAATAGTTTAGCTTATATTAACAGCTGCACAGAATTGCTGTTATCAGCTAAAAAATTATTTCCAAAATGTCAGTTATTGTGCATATAGACAATGTCTGATGTAGGTCTAATTTAATGCTAAAGCTCCCACACTATTTATATCAGCAGTATACAGATAATTTGCAATAAAAATGAAAACATGTTTAACACTAAAGACAGAAATTCATATTTCTGCATTAAGTAGGGATTTTCATGTTTTATTTCATTTACACTTAATTTTTGTTTGTAAAATGGTATAATATTTCCACTAAAGCACTTGTCACTGAGCTATGCCTCGCTGGCTAATGTGCAGAGAATCTAATACTATCACACTGGCTATTCCCAAAAGGCTTTTATTGGGAAGTTAATTGGCCAGGAGACAGAAGGCAAGGCTCAAATCTGCCTCCCCCACCCAGAGTTCAGGGTGAGGGTTTTTTTCCCATTCCAATTGACATTCAATATTATTTTATGTTAGTTTCGGGTGTAAAGCATAGTGGTTAGACATTTATATAGTTTATGAAGTGATCCTTCCTGATAACTCTAATATCCACCAGGCCCCATGCATAGTTATTACAGTTTTATTGACTATATTCCCTATGCATTACTTTACATCCCCATGAATATTTTGTAGCTACCAATTTGTACTTCTTGATTCCTTTACCTTTTTTATCCAGTCCCCCACACCCTCTACCATCTGGCAACCATCAGTTTGTCCTCTGTATCTATGAGTCAGTTTCTATTTTGTTTGTTTAGTTCTTTACATTCCACATGTAAGTAAAATCATATGGTATTTGTCTTTCCCTGTCTGACTGATTTTACATAGCATAATACACTCTACGTTAGGGGTGGGGAACGTCCAGCCTGCGGGCTGTATAAGGCCTGTGAAATCATTTGGTCTGGCCCTACCAAGGCATTAGGGATGAGTTAATTAAATGTTTGACCAAATATAGCAGGATAATTTTCAAGTTGATACTTTTGTATGGCCTGCAAATGATGTTATAAATATCCAAATGGCCCTGGGCAGAAGAAAGGTTCCCCACCCCGCCTAGGTCCTTGTATGCTGTTTCATTCTTTATTTTATGGTGGAGTAATATTCCATTGATTATATGTACCACCACTTTTTTACCCACTCATCTATTAATGGGCACTTGGGTTGCTTCCATAGCTTAGCTATTGTAAATAACTCTGCAATGAACATAGGGGTGCATATATTCTTTAAAATTACTGTTTAGGGTTTCTTTGGATATATTGCCAGAAGTGGAACCAATCAGTGGATCATAAGGCAGTTCCAGTTTTTTTATTTTTGTAGGAAACTCCATACTATTTTCCATAGTGGCTGCACCAATCCGCATTCCCACCAAGAGTGCACTAGGGTTCCCTTTTCTCCACATCGTCACCAATATTTGTCATTTGTGGATTTATTGATGATAGCCATTCTGACAGGAGTGAGCTGATAACTCATTGTGGTTTTAATTTGCATTTCTGACAATCACATTGAGCATATTTTAATATGTCTATTAGCCATCTATGTCCTCCTTGGAGAAGTGTCTATTCAGGTCCTCTGCCCATTTTTTAATTGGATTGTTTGTGTGTTGTAGGGTTTTGTTTGTTTGTTTGTTTTTGTTTTTTTGCTGTTGAGTAGTATGAACTCTTTTTAAAAATATTTTTTTATTGATTTCAGAGAGGAAGGGGGAGGGAAAGAGATAGAAACATCAATGATGAGAGAAAATCACTGATCGGCTGCCTCCTGCCTGCCCCACACTGGGGATCAAACCCACAACCCAGGCATGTGCCCTGACCAGGAATTGAACCATGACCTCCTGGTTCATAGGTTGATGCTGAACCACTAAGCCATGCTGGCTGTCCAAGTAAATGAACTCTTTATAAATTTTGGTTATTAACCCATTATCATATGTACCATTGGTGAATATTGTCTCCCATTTAGTAGGTTGTCTGTTCATTTTCTTGATGGTTTCTTCGGTGTGCAAAAACTTTTTAGTTTGATGTAGTCCCATTTGTTTATTTCTTCTTTTGTTTCCGTTGCCTGAAGAGATAGATCAGAAAAAAAATATTGCTAACAGAAATGTCAGATTTTACTACCTGTGTTTTATTCTAGGATTTTATGATTTCAAGTCTTACATTTAAGTATTTAATCCATTTGGAGTTTGTTCTTGTATAAAGTGTAAGAAGGTGGTCTAATTACATTTTTTGCATGTGTCTATCCAATTTCCCCTGCACCAGTTATTGAATAGACTGTCTTTATCCCATTGCATGTTCCAATTTCCATTTCTGTCATTTTACAAGTACATTGAAAACTTAATGAACAGCTTGGCTAGTGTGGCTCAGTGGTTGAGCATGGACCTATGAACCAGGAGACCATGGCTCAGTTCTTGCTCAGGGCACATGCCTGGGTTGTGGGCTTGATCTCCAGTGTGGGGCATGTAGGAGGCAGCCGCGATCAATGATTCCCTCTCATCATTGATGTTTCTATCTCTCTCTGCCTCTCCCTTCCTCTCTGAAAGCGATAAAAATATATTTAAAAAACAACATAATGAACAATTTTGTCCAATTTTTCTCCTTTATGTTCAATTATAATTCTTTTATATCCTTAACACAAATAAGTAGTATTTGTTTGGTTAAATTTATTTAAAAAATATATACATATATATTTTTATTGATGTCAGAGAGTAAAGGAGAGGGAGAGAGAGAGAGAGAGAGAGAAACATCAATGATGAGAGAGAATCATTGATCGGTTGCCTCGTGCATGATCTCCAGTGTGGGGATCGAGCCTGCAACCCGGGCATGTTCCCTGAACAGGAATCGAACCATGAACTCTTAGTTCATAGGTCAATGCTCACCCACTGATCCATACTAGCCAGGCTGTTTGGTTAAATTTAAACTTATCAACCATAGAGGGCGTCTATCAGAACTTGACCATGCTGGCACCTTGAACTTGGACTTCCCAGTCTCCAGCACTGTGAGAAATAAGTTTTGTTGTTTATAATCCACCAGGTCTATGGTATTTTCTTATAGTTTGTATCTCTTCGCTGATCTCATTTTGGTCACGCATCATTTTCCTGATTTCGTTTAGTTGTGTATCTGTGCTCTGTTTTAGTTCATTGAGCATCTTTATGACTGTTATTTTAAATTCTTTGTCAGGCAGCTCCATTTTTTTTTGAGGTTTGTTTCTGTAGTTTTATTTTGGTCTTTTGATTAGGCCAAGTTTCTGTTTCTTTGTATACCTTGTAAATTTTTGCTGAGATTTGGACATTTGAAAAAAACAAAACACCTTTCCCAATCTCTGCATAGTAGCTTCATAAAGGGGAGGATCACCAAACCTGCCCATCTAAGAAGTTCAAGTTGGACCTCTCTAACCTCTTATGAACTCTTACTCCCCTTGGTATTTGCCTGTGGAATTGCAGCTCTGATGTGCTGCTTGCCTCTATTTTCAGTGTCTTCCAAACTCTGGCGCCAGTTTCATCAATGCCCAGAGTCTGAGAGACAGAAACCAACCCTTTAGGCAGCCCCCAGAGAAACTAGAACATTCAATGCATGTTCCACTCCATTCCAAGGGAGGAGCCCTGGTATATGGGTTTCCTTCTGGTTGCTCTGTGCTGTGATGTTTAAGGAGAGATACACAAATGGATGCACTAAATGCCATGAATATCCCCACCTCATTCACTGGAATTCCTTCTTGTCTTTACAATGGCCTGGGTGCTGTGGCTTCTCAACTGGTCTCTAGAGTTCTCACAGAGATATTGTAGTCTGCACAGGTGGGGCAACTGTAGGTTTACAATTGTTCCTATGGAAGATAATACAATAATTAATAAATAATAATACAAGAACAAACTGTAAAGCTGTAACGCTACTTTTGCCTCATCCTGTATATTGCTGTTAACTCTGTTTCTCTGTCAGGGAAGGAGGACCTTATAGCTTCCCAGTCTGTCATTGTCTTGACTTAGTCGGCTTGGGCATCATAAGAAAATACCACAGACTGGACGGCTTAAACAACAGGTATTTGTGTTTTTACAGTTCTGTCGGCGGGAAGTCTGAGATCAGGGTATCAGTATGGTTGGGTTTTGGTGAAAGCTTTCTTCTTGGCTTATAAAGGGCCAGGAAGAAAGAGCTTGGTAGACAGAGCTTGAACTCTGGTCTCTTCCCCTTCTTATAAGGCCACTAATCTCATCAAGGGGCACAACTCTAATGACCTGAGGCCCCACCTTCAGATGCCATCACATTAGAGGTTGGGATTTCAACATATGAATTGGGGGGGGGGGGACAAAAACATTCAGTCTATAACAGCCATCTTGCTGACATCAGTCCTGAAAAAATATTTTAAACAAAAATTTATATATTCAACCATATACCTGGTTAACTTCTGATCGTTGTAATGCATGCAGAAAGTAATAATTCACACCTAAGCTGAAACTTGCCTGTCAGAGTACTTCTCTGGATTTTAATTTCATGTAGTGTCCAGTCTTAAAGCACATGCTTAAATATGTATTGTTACTGAAAATGTTAATCAGTGTAAAATACGGAAAAGAAGCACCTTGTGCTGAGTAAGAAAGACTTTTGCATGATTTGTTTCAACCTTTTTCATTTAGGTATCACTGGAAAAGAATCACAATGGCAATGAAAATTATGAAGGACGTGAAAGGTACTTGCATTACAGACGTCTGTACATGTGAATTTTATTGTTATTTGTGGGGAAGTGAAACAAAAATTAATAAATGTAACTTCCACCAGGGGGCCTCTAGAATCTGATTCTGAACAATCCATAACAATTTCTGTAAACAATCCTAATGGAGAACTAGAACATTCATAAATAAAACTGCGTGTTTTGCTTTTCTGCTTATGTCTGTGTTTCTGTGCATCATTTTCCTATGGTGTGAGTATAAATGTCTTGATGTCATAGCCTTTCTACTTAAAGCATTCAGGAATTGTCACCCTGAAGAATTCGGTGTCACGAAGATTTTTCCTCATTTTCAATCTTAAAATTAAAACCCTTGGCTTTTTAATAATAATGTATACTAAACATACTAAGTAAATTTCAGTGTTTTAAATGACCTTAGCTTCAATCATAAAGGACTTTGCCCATGATTATCAGAAGCATCTGTGTGTTCTTTCAGAATTACAGCCGGAAAGGGGAAAATGCTTACACTCCCTTTAAAATGGGCTTAAACAAAGGCAGCTGTGTAAGAGTTAAAAGAGCTGTGAACACAGAAGCAGAATAATAATAATAATAGGTAGCATTTACTGAGTGCCTATTATGTATGTGCTAGGCTCTGTGCTAAGCACTTTGACATTTGTGATTTAATTTAATCCCCAGCAGGCCCTGGCAGGGTAGCTCAGTTGGTTGGAGTGTCGTCCTGATATGCCAAGGTTGTGGGTTCTATCCTTGGTCAGGGCACATGCAGGAGGCAATGATGAATGCATGAATGGATGGAACAGCAACTCGATGTTTTTCTCTCTCCCTCTCTCTCTCTTAAATCAATAAAAAAATTTAACTTAATCCCCAACAATCCTGTGAAGTAGGTATGAACATTTCCATATTATAGATGAATAACATAAGTTCAATAGAGCAGGGTCCTCAAACTTTTTAAACAGGGGGCCAGTTCACTGTCCCTCAGACCGTTGGAGGGCCGGACTATAGTTTAAAAAAAAACTATGAACAAATTCCTATGCACACTGCACATATCTTATTTTGAAGTAAAAAAACAAAACGGGAACAAATACAATATTTGTATTTGCATATGGCCCGAGGGCCGTAGTTTGAGGACCCCTGGCCAAGACTGTAGCTTCTCTTCATTACTGTATCACCAACAGCTAGTGCTAATACAGGGTGTGGCAAAAGTAGGTTTACAGTTGTGAGTACATGAAACAAAGAGTTTATCCTTGTATTATTATTTATTAATTATTGTATTATTTTCCATACAAAAGACTGTTAACCTGCTTTTGCTCCACCCTGTATAAATCAAATTTTGAATAATATACTCAAATTTGGTTGGTGTGGCCACAAAACCTGTGGGCTTCCTACTCTACTAAATTGTCTCTTCACAAACATAAGTAAAGATGAGGTTAAGTTCTTTAAAAGCCTGCTGTATTAGCTTTCTATTACTGCTTAAACAAATTACCATGAAGAGCAACTTAAAGCAGCACTCATTATTGAAGTGGAATTTTTAAAATTTAAGTATAGTTAGTAGAATGTACAATTTTAAGATTTTAAGTTTAATCTACAAATTTCATTATTCCGTTTATGAATCTAGTAGATTTAAATGATTGCATTTAAGGAAATTTGTAGATTAAACTTAAAAACTTAAAATAACCAATTAAAACATATTCTTTAAAAATGTAACAAAGTAAGTGTATACTTAGGGTGAAATTTTTTCTCTAAATATGTTTTTATTAATTTCAGAGAGAGGAGATAGAGGTAGAAACATCGATGATGAGAGAGAATCATTGATCGGCTGCCTCCTGCACGCCCCCTACTGGGGATCGAGCCTGCAACCTGGGCATGTGTCCTGACCAGGAATTGAACTGGTGAGCCACACCCAACTGGGCTAAATGTTCTCTTAAACATTTCAAAACTTTCACAAATTCAACCAAATCCTCTTTCAACATTCTGCTTAAAATCATAAGTACTCAATTACCCATTTTAAATTGGAATTACAAGTCTAATCTGTAGGTACTCTGATATACCTAATTTTCTTAAATGTTACAAATGTGTGAAATACCAGATTTATACATTCCTAAATTTATCTGAGCTTGATTTACTTCAGTATCTCCTGGTTTAATTGAACCCTTTCTGGGTTAAGAACACTTTATCACCAAGAAAGCAGTTTTACTCTTCAGAGCCAACGAACCCAGGGATATGGTTGTTGGGTCCTGAACTCCAAGTGCCACCTCCAGTGGGTGGTCTCAGCCCACATCCTCTGGTACAGGCTACGTTTCCTTTTCTCCAGTCCTCACTTCTCCCCCACCCCTAAACTCGTCCTCCTCCTCCATCCAGGTGGCTTCATGGCTGGATTAGATTCTATTTATTGCTTGATTCTTTCGGAGTTCTTTCCCTATTATTCCAGTCCTCAGGGCCCCACCTCTTATAAGTATTTAGTGGCATCCTCTTGGATGCGGTACACATTCACACCTTTGGGTCTGGGATCTTGCATTCAAGGCCATGACAAGAATCACAGGGAGCCAGAAGGGATATTTGTTAGTGGTTACCTTCCCTCTTGGTACAGAAATACCCTGTTACAGCAGAGCCGACTGCTAGTGTCTCTCGGCTGCTTATATCCTTCCAATGACTGTGAGCAACACTTGTTTTTGTGTGTTTTTTTAATTGTGATAAAGTATACATAACATAAATTTTACCATTTTAATCACTTTTAGGTGTGCAATTCAATTGCATGACATACATTCACATTATCTTGCATCCATCACCACCATCTATCTCCAGAACTCCTTTCATTTTCCCAAACTGAAACTCTGTACCTGTTAAACAACAAACTCCTCCCATTCCCCTCACCCCTAGGCCATGGCAACCACCATTCTACTTTCTATCTATGAATTTGACTACTCTAGCTACTACCTCTTACTGTGGAATTACACAGACTTAGTCCTTTTGTGTCTGGCTTATTGCCCTTAGCATAATGTCCTCAAGGTTCATCCTTGTTGCATGTGTCAGAATTCCCTTTGTTTTTAAATGTTCTTTCTTATATTGAGCTGGGAACCATCTTAGGACAGATGGTCCTACAGGAAGCTTTTCTGACTGGCCCCAGACCTGCCTCCAGGAGCAGAGAGCAAAGGAGATTGTGTCGAGGTTTACATGCACCCAGAGGACCAGGGCTGATGAAACAGCAAGTAGATTTCTGACAATAATGGTCCTTGCTGTCCACGGCTATATTCTTGGCTGAGGTCAGCACCACAAGAAGGGAGGGTTCCGGTGAGGTCGAGACGGCCCCGGTGAGGTTGAAATAGCCCCAGTGAGGCCGAGATGGCCCCAGTGAGGTTGGGACTGCTCCAGTGAGGTTGGGACAGATAATGGGGACCAGTATAGACTGATGAACAGGAGTAGATGCAGAGGCAGAGCAACATTGAACAGACTGTCAAACTACAGTGGGAAGCCTGGGGAGGATTTGGGGGGGGATTAAGAGATCAACCGAAGAACTTATATGCATGCATATAAGAATAACCAATGGACACAAGACACTGGGGGGTAGGGGCCGGGGGAATGTCAAGTGGGGGGAAAAAGGAGACATATGTAATACTTTTTGTAATACTTCAAGAAATAAAAATTATTAACAAAAAAAAAAAAAGAAGAAGGGAGGGTGTCCCAACTCACTTGCCCTGACCTTTTCTGGCTGGTGTATCCCCTGGGGGAAATGCCACTTCTATTTCTGTTCGGTGTATTATTTTCCTAGAGTTGCCATCTGTAGTTCAGATGTCCAGGTTAGCTTGGCTGGTTTTTTACCTAGGGTCTTATGGAGCTGAAATCAAGGTGCTGGCCTGGGCCACACTCTTTATCTGGATGCTCTAACGAAGAAGCTTCTAAACGCATTCTAGTTATTGGGAAAATTCAGTTCCTTGAGTTTATGGGAATGGAGTTCTTGTTTCCTTGCTGCTTTCTAGAGCAGGGTTGGGGAACTTTTTTTCTGCCAAGGGCCATGTGGATATTTATAACATCACTAGAGGCCTGGTGCACGAATTCATGCATGGGTGGGGTCCAGCTGGCCCTGCCCCCCCCCCCGCAGGGGGCATCACAGCAACCAGTCATTCCGGTTGTTCAGCTTGCTTAGGGTTTTATATATATAGATTTGTGGGCCATACAAAATTATCAACTTGAAAATTATCCTGCTATATTTGGTCAAACATTCAATTGACTCATTCCTAATGCCTTGGCAGGGCTAGACGAGATGATTCCATGGGCCTTATATGGCCCAAGGACTGGATGTTCTTCACCCCTGCTCTAGAGGCAGTCTGAATTTCCCTTCTATGGGGCTCCCTCCATCTTCAAACCAACAACATCATGTCCTGAGGGAAGGAACTCTTTTGGGGAGGGGGCATTTTTAGAATTCTGCTTACCACATCAGGAATGTTGTACTTATCTGCTTTTAAAATCAGAATGTAGCCTGGTCAATGTGGCTCAGTGGTTGAGCATGGATCCATGAACCAAGAGGTCCCTGGTTCGATTCCCGGACATGTCCAGGTTTCAGGCTCAATTCCCTGTGCAGGGCGAGCCAGAGACAGTTGATAGATGTTTCTCTCTCATCAATACCTCTATTTCTCTATCCTCCTCCCTTCTTCTCTCTCTAAAATCAATAAAAACATATTTTAAAAACAGAAAATAAAATAAATCAGAATGTAATATATGTGTTCAATAAATCAAAAAGTTTGTACATATTCTATGGTATGTTGAAAAAGAAAATAAAGAAAAGTAAAGAGAAATTATGAATAAAAGTTAATTTGGAAACCAACCTTTATTTAATTACTCCTCTCTCTCTCTCTCTCAAATCAACCAGAAAAACATTAATAACACAGAAATAATACCTTACTTATTTAAAACCATTGACTACAGCAACTTTACTAACAATATCAAGATAACCACGCAGCATTTGAGCTTTTGTTGTTCTCTGTCTCTGATGGAGTGTCACTACATGCTATCGTCTGAATGTTTGTGTGTCCCCTAAATTCATAGTTGAAATCCTAGTGCCCAATGTGATGGTGTTAGGAAGTAGGACTTTGGGAGGTGACTAGATTATAAGGGTGGATGGAGCCAATGGGATGAGTGCTTTAATAAAAGAGACCCCCAAAGAGCTCCTTCACCCCTTTCACCATGTGAGGATACAGCCAAAAGCTGGCAGTGTGCAATTAGGAAGAAGGTGTTGTATAGAGCAAGAGCAGAGCAGACTTTTTGGACACCTTTGACAATCCAATATGGAATTACTGCCAGCCATGAGAGTTATGTCAAGTGCTATGTGAAGAGTAAGGTAATGGGGTGAAATGGGAATGCCCTTAGGATGGGCCTGGAAGGGGCAAAACCACAAGTCTGGCCACTTGGAAAAGGACTCCATGTGGACACCAATATGAGTGGGATCTCCACCCTTTGTGTGCTATAAGAACTCAGAGCTCCGACTGCCCAACGCTTGAACTTGGTTTTACCATGGGATATACTCAGAGCCCTACTAGACTTCCACTCCACTGGACGCATGCCACCACTATAGCCGCCTCATTTGAGATTGATGCTCACCTCTGGACACCACCAAGTCACTGGGGCTTCAAGCCATTAGCTCGATCTTCTTGCTTCTATTGCTAAGCTCCCCCTGCGAGTAACATGTGTGTGACTCTATCGGCTTATTGAAGAGGTCTCTCCTGAGAAACCTGGCATTCTAGAAAGACACAAACCTGTGTGAGGGACTCATTTTTGGTATGTTCCTTGCTTACAACAGGCATCCATCAGAACCTGACCATGCCAGCACCTTGATCTTGGACTTTCCAGCCTCCAGAATGGTAATAAGTAAGTTTTTGTTGTTTATAAACCACCCAGCCTATAGTATCTTGTTATAACACCCCGAATGGACTAGGACAGTATATGTGGTAAACATTTGCTCTTGAACTATTTAGCCATCCATTTTTTAAAAATATGTACTGTTTATTTACATGAAGAGCTGCTATATTAAGACAAAGCAAGAACCAGACCCACTAGCAGCCATTCAGGAGGCCCTATATATAGAGGACACCCTTGCAATGTAGCAGATGAAAATTTTGTATAGCCAGGCTGCTTTTGGTATTAATTCCTACGTATCTGTGGTAGACAGTTAGACATGAGCAGAGCAAGGAAATGGGCCAGGTACAGAAGGCCACTAGGGGGAAAGCCCTGGGTACCTAGTAATGGTAGCCCCAGAGTGGCCTTTCCTCCCCTAGCATACAGCTGGTCGTATGGTTTGGACCCGCTGACCTTTCCTTCCTAGAGATAATATCTAGGCCTCAGTTGTATTTCAGCTCCAGACTTAGAAAAGCAGCAAAACCAGACAAGATGACCTCAGGCCCAACTGCACCAATGACCCCCTGCCCTGGCTCGGACCAATCAATCAGTGGAAATCTGGACCCTGAAAGGACACACATGGAAAGCTGCTGAAGATGCTATTGAGATATTCCCCTGGGACCTCCTCTAAAATCTCCATCCTGGGGCGGGGGGAAGAGGACTGCGTGAAGGGCTGGTTTCTGTCTCTCAGACTCTGGGCATTGATGAAACTGGCGCCAGAGTTTGGAAGACACTGAAAATAGAGGCAAGCAGCACATCAGAGCTGCAATTCCACAGGCAAATACCAAGGGGAGTAAGAGTTCATAAGAGATTAGAGAGGTCCAACTTGAACTTCTTACATGGGCAGGTTTGGTGATCCTTCCCTTCATGAAGCCACCATGCAGAGATTGGGAAAGGTGTTCTGTTGTGGTTTTTTTTCAATGTCCAAATCTCAGCAAAAATTTACAAGGTATACAAAGAAACAGAAACTTGGCCTAATCAAAAGACCAAAATAAAACTACAGAAACAAACCTCAAAATAAATGTAGAGCTGCCTGACAAGGAATTTAAAATAACAGTCATAAAGATACTCAATGAGCTAAAAGAGAGCACAGATGCGCAACTAAATGAAATCAGGAAAACGATGCGGGACCAAAATGAGATCAGCAAAGAGATACAAACTGTAAGAAAATACCATAGACTGGATGGATTATAAACAAAACCCTTAGGACAGAAGACCCAGCACATTCTCCCTGCCTGGAGCATGCCAGTGCCTTTTCCCTTCCCACCCCCCACCCCCCCACCAGGTGCGGCACCCTTACCTTCCTCACTTCTAAGCTCCAAGGGCCCTTCTTTTGCCTCTGTAACTTGTTTCCTAAAACCATTTCTTCTACCACTCGCTTCTTTTATCTCTGCGATTTTCTAAATAAATGTTCTCTCATAGTTTAAGTCTTGGCTCCAAATTCTTTCCTAGCCAGAACTCAAGTGCTAAGGTTGCTGAACTCAGGTCTGGTCTGACCCCAGTGGTGTAGTACCTGGTGCCCTGGTGCGGTTCCCACCAACGCCAACATATCCATGTGCTCTAGCTACTTTTTTGGTAACACTTTATAATTTTTATATTATAAAGTTCCCCCATTTAAAGTATACAACTCAAGAGCTTTGAGTATGTTAACAGAGTTTTGTCATTATCACCATAATCTAATTTTAGAACATTTTCATTATCCCCCAAAGAAACTCCTGGTACCCATTAGCAGTTACTCCCCACTGACTCCCTTTCTTCCCTCCGTCCCGAGCCCAAAGCAATTAACTATTAATCCATTTTCTTTATATATGGAGGCTCTGGCTACTTTTGCTTCAAAGTCCCTACAGGCATGACCATACTTAAATAATAATAAAACTGCTTTGGCACTTAAACACTAAAGCAACTCATGTAATGGTTTTGAAGTGACAATATAAAAAAGGCTAGATTAATACATGCATGTGATCCTCTCGAATGCTATGCAAACACGCCCAGATTCAGTACTTGGAGTCTTAATATTAAAAGCAAATTTGAAGATTCTTGAATATACCTTCTTCATTTTATAGCTGGTGGTAATGAGATCTTGAGAAATTAAATGGAATCGCCCAATGTTGCTCATCTAATTAGTGGCTGTCAAATATATATTTTTTTTAAATATTCTCCTTAATTGGCAGATACATGAAATGTGGGATTAAAGCTTTCCTCATAAAGACTAAATATTCTACAAATAAGAGTTCTCTGCACCAGCCTAGAGGAATATACCTGAAATTAAATTTTCAAGGAATTGGATAATAGGCAAATGCAATAAGCTTTTCATGAGATGTTAAAGAATTCATGTCTATTTAAGGTATATACAAAGGTATCCTTTATGTATAGGAAAAAATGAGGTTAATCAGAGTCAACCCAGAGCCCTTAATAAACAAGAAATTTCTTCCCTGTATTCCACCTCTGTGAAAGACACAAACGTCAAGAAAATAAGCCAACCTTGATTACTTATCTTTTGAAAGAACTTCAAGTTAAACATGGATTTAGCTTAAACTACCATGTTTACCTCTGTGGTTCGCACTTGCCAAGGCGACATCTGTCTTTACCAGACTATGTACTAAAGCAAATACATATACTAATGTATTCTTTTACATTTTTAATGCAGGAGTTGAAACCAAAATAATTATCTGCCAATCTTCAGTTAGAAACAAGGTAAATTAAGTAGAGCATATTTTAATTAATTTGCATAAAAGTGTATGACCCATAAGTGGAAAATAGGAAATATATAGTAATGAATGTAGTTATATAGTCATGGATATAGATCACCTGTGCCTCAGAACAGTATCAATCTGGTTTCTGATTTAGACTTTGGGATGGTATTTAAAAGGGTATTTTTTGAAAATGGAGAAAGAAACTCAGGCCCAGTGGCAGTCTATATAAGGATGAAACTGGAAGTAAAGTCTTGTGAGGTCTTTGAGGTAGATATTCCAGCTGGTTATACACTAATAATACCAATTGAAAGTCACTTGGCTCAAGGAATGGCTCCACAAGGTAGATTACCAAATCCCTGGGCATAGTTAAGGCATTTAATCTCCTGACCCCCATCCCACTGTGGAAGTTTACATTTTACTCTGTGGGGTAATAGTATGCTTTCTTCCTTACATCTTCAATTAAAGTCCTTTGATGCTACTATTTAGCATGTAAGAACCAAGAAGTAGCCTTAGTGGTATACCATAGTTCAGGCAAACTACTTCATGCTTTCAGGGTCACAGAAAAAACTCTATGCAGTTTCTTCAAAGTCACACTCCCTTCTTGTCACCCACAGTCTTCTCCAACTATCTTCTGTCTACTTTTAGTAAGCAAGTTTCATGAGTATTTTGTAAGATTGCTAATCCCCTGAGTTCATAGTTTTTCTCTTCTTCATAAACTAAGTTTCAACTCGATGAGAGAGTCTCTAAGCCAGCAATTTTTAATTGGTGTGCCACAAGAGGCACTGGTGTGCCGCAAGAATTTTTGAAACATGCAATACCCGACTATTTAGTCAGGGGCACTGACTTCCTTTCTCTTAGATTGTTAAATAAAAAAACGACTACAGGCAAAACAACAATAGCCATCCGTTGTGAATGAATCAAAATTATACCTATTTTTGGTCAGATCGGCAAAAAAATATATATATTTTGGTGTGCCACTGAATTTTAGCAGTTTATGTGTGCCATGAGATGAAAAAGGCTGAAAATCGCTGATCTAAGCTGAAAAGGAAGACTGGGATCAATTGTCTTTCTAAATATCCAAATGTTCTTTCTTTTCAAAGGTTTGCTATTAACAGGGATGTTGTAGTGAATTTT